ACTAATCAAGGAGAGAAGCAACCTAGAACTAAGGAGGAATTTCCTGACAGTGAGAACAATTTATCACTGGAACAATTTGCCTTCAGAAGTTGTAAACGCTCCAACACTGGAGGTGTTTAAGAAGAGACTGGACAACCATTTGTCTGAAATGAATATCAGCAGACAAGCCTAGACCGAATGATAGTTTACTTCTCAGTGCAGCAGACTCCTTTCTCAAGTTTCTGTTTCAATTCTCTGCACAGACTCAGATCTGTTTAAGCTCCCATTGGCTGACCTTGTTCCCATGTCTCTCCCAGTCATGAATATTTTAACAACAACTATAGTGATTTGCTTAACCACCATGGCAAAAAGGTGGTAATGGCTGGCTGGGGAATTTTAGGAGTAGAGATCCTCACGCTTTTGAATTGAACTGAAGTCCACACATCTTCATTTGCCGACATGCTAACTGGGGAATTCTGGGAATTGAAGTCCACACCTCTTCAAAAATTCCCAAGGTTGAGAAATACCGCAAGAAACTTTGAAGCATACCTGATCTTTGAAATCAGCTCATGCTGTTGTGAGGCTCGGTAGAGAAAGAGGAACAAAGGGGCAGCCAAGGGGCCTATTAAGCATTTCAGAGTGGGGGAGGGAGAAATGGCCAAGGCGGGGGTGGGTGGGTAGGTGGGTTGCGCAAGATGTCAGGCACTGGTTTGTGAGCGGTCCTGTCCCCTGTCATTATGAGCAATGGCCATGCATTAAGGTATTAGAACATGACAGCTATAATTCTAACCAATTCCTGCTGGCTGGCCCAGCCTCGCACGATTTATAGAAGCACTTTGCAGAGCAGAAAATTAACAAGCCATGCGCTCCGAGAACAAGGCAGGCAGGCGTGCTCTCTCCCCCATACCCCCACCCAGGCATGTATAAACACACACATACACACAGAGGGAGGGACGGAGAGAGACGCAAGCACGTTTTATCCAAAGTCTGATTTGTAGATTGGCACGCACAAAAAAACCATCATCTTTTATCCAAATCCTGTTTTGCAAAACTCCCCTGGATTGGAGATATGGAACCCAGTGGTGGTATTCAGCCAGTTTGGACCGGTTCGGGTGAACCGGTAGTTGCGACCTGCAGATAGGGTGCGCACGCTCACCCACCCCATTGCTATGCCGTCCTATTTAGCCACGTATTCTAAGCCGCGTGTACGCACGCAAGCCATGCACACGAGCAAAGTGTATGCGTGGAAGGCGTGCGCACATGCTCAAATTTTCAGTGCGTGGCAAACCGGTGGTCAAATTATATGGAAACCCACCTCTGGTGGGACCCCCCTCTCTCCCTAAGGCACCCTCCTTCCCTCCCATGGGATTCTGCCCCAAGGAAAGGCATTTTTCTGGATGTCTGGGACATGCAAATGTGTTAGAACGTGTGTGTGTGTTTGTTGGAGGGGGGGGCCTCCGTGTGTAGAACAGAACAGAGCTAGAAGGGCCCTTGGAGATCTTCTAGTCCAACCCCCTGCTCAAGCAGGAGATCTTATACCGTTCTAGATATTTGGCTGTCCAGTCGCTTCTTAAAAGCCTCCAGTGATGGAGGACCCACAACTTCACACTTAGGAATTCCACATGGCTTCTCCGCTTGATTGGTTTCCACCCATTGCTTCGTCTCCTGCCTTCAGGTACTATAGCGAATAGGTTGACCTCCCTCGTTTATGGCAGCCCCTCGAATATTTTGAAGACCGCTATCATGTCACCCCTAGTTCTTCTTTTCTCTAAACTAGCCGTACCCAATTCCTGCAATCGTTCTTCATGTGCTTTTGTCTCCAGGCCCTGAATCATCATAGTTGTTTATTATTTTACAATTGACTAAACTGTTTATGATTGATTAAAATTGGGATGCTGGGCAACTGACTCCTATTTGGAGGAAAATAGAACAGAGCTGAGAGGGACCTTGGAGGTTTTCTGGTTCTAGTTTCTACTCCTGCTCAAGCAGGAGGCCCTATGCCAGTGATGGTGAACCGGTATGGTGCAACAGGGCCCGGCGTCTACCACATGAATGCGTGCAGCACGCATCCTTACCTCTTGCGACTCTCCACGACACCTCTGCGACACTCCAGCTGGTCGGCGGAGCGTTGCACAGGCGCCGTACGCTCTGTCCGGGGAAACGCCGAAGAGCTCAAATACCAGTAAGGAGCACGGGCCGGTGGGCCCTCTGGAGCACTGTACTGGAATGGTATCCGGTGCTTCTGGCAAGCCCCAGTACGTCCGTACCAGGACGTACCTGTTGTAACCCACCACTGTGGAGAACCTATGGCACGTGTGCGAGAGGTGGCCCACAGAGCCATCTCTATGGGCATGTGCACCATCGCCATCTGCTCTTCCGGGTTCCATCATGCAAATGTGCACTGGACAACTGGGCCGGTGTGCATGTGTGCGGCAGCCATCTGCTCTTCTGGGTTCCAGTGTGCACATGTGCCAGGCACTTGGTCTTTACACAAAGACCAGCTGGGTGGCATGCATGCACGGGACGGAACCCGGAAGGGCAGATGGCGGCAACGCACATGCATATTGGCTGCTCTCTTCCGGGTTCTGGCGCTCTGGCACGTCGTACAATGAGGGCAAATCTATTTAACAAACGGCTCACCAGCCACAGGAATTTTGGGTTCAATTGTGACTGTTAAGTTAAAGGCTACGTCTACTTGTATTAGGTTGGGTGCCTAATAAAAGGATGCAACTGACTATTACAACGCAAAGCTACACAATTGACCTATCACAACGCAAAGCTACATTGATTGGTGATGAAATCAATCAATCATCATCCTCATTTAATGACCCCATAATCCCTTGCGAGGTGGAGTCTGGGCAACTGAATGGAGCTAGCAGAGAGTTTCCTGGCCAGATGCCCTTCCTGTCACCAATGCGGAGTTTTAATCAGCAGATATGTGCCCAGAGAGAGAAATATCTGCCTCTACCTAGGATCGAACTCACAGCCTCCTGATTGTGAGGTGAGAGCTCCACCTATAGGCCGACACACCACTCTGATGAAAGCAAGCAATGTCTATCCCCAATTCCCAACTCATCCACAATGCCCATTTCAGGAAAAGTCTGCAAATTCTCCACATGCTTCCTCTGTCTTAAATCTTTCTCTTCAGTGTTTCCTAACCGTCACCATTTTAAGACGTGTGGGTTTTGTCAGGGAATTGCAGCAGTCAGAGACGCTGACAAAATCGTATTTTTTTAAGTAAATACATATATTTTATGTCAATATATACAGCGAACTAGTTGGTGAGGCAAACAGGAGCACCATGAGGTAAATCACAGAGCACAAAAGAAAAAAGGCGGGGAAAAAGGGAAACTCCCACTCTACACCCTCAGCAACCAATCACAGCACAGATTGCCTCAAGCGGGAGCCAGCCACCTCCAATCAATCAACCACAACTGTGTGTTCTGGCTCACTTGCACAATCCTTCATAATTCCAGCTACTAAATTTAAATATCCTCACACAACAGTTTGGGTTGTGTTAAGATATTTGTTTAGGGGTTTCTTGAACAACAGTGGATGTATATGGGTAGTCCTTGACTAGACTCAGTCAAGGTTAATGGTCAGGGAAATTGCACAGCAGGTGTCCAAATGAAGTCAGAGATGCTGACACAAACATATGATTATATATAAATAAATATATTTAACATCTGTATTTACAGCAGACAAGATAGTCAGGCACACAGGAGCATCATGAGGTAAATCGTAAACAGCATACAGAGCACACATAAGAAAAAAGGCGGGAAAAAAGGGAAACTCCCCCTCCACACCCACAGCAACCAATCACAGCGCAGATTGCCTCACGCAGGAGCCAGCCGCCTCCAATCAATCAACCACAACTGTGTTCTTGGCTCACTTGCACAATCCTCCACTATTCCAGCTACTAAATTTAAATGTTTTGACAGATTTCGACTCCCAGGTTACCCCAGCCACCATGCGGTATTCTGGGAGTTGAAGTCCACATATCATAAAATGGGTAAATTTGGGAAATGCTGATCTAAGACCAGAAAACTCCTTCACCCAACCTCTGAATTTCAGAGTCGATTCCATAAAATGGAAAACCTCTGAACTCGGCTGATAAAAAGGCAGGCGGATTAGAACTGGATTATTCATTTGCGCGAGGCAATTGAAGGACGCAGCATGGGGCATTTTATACCCAGAGACCTGATTTAATGGAACTCAGGCTAAGCAATTGGATTTCCAAAGGAAACAAGAGTGGCTGTTTTCAGTCCAAAAGGGAAGGGAGGCAACAGAGGGGGATAAGAGGGAAAGGAACAGCATGGGGCAAGGATCAATTTCAGGCAGCTGAATGGAGGATCCTACCTTTTGATCTGAAAAGAAGGAAGGAAGGAAGGAAGGAAGGAAGGAAGGAAGGAAGGAAGGAAGGAAGGAAGGAAGGAACAAGAAGGGAGGGAGGGAAAAAGAGAGAAAGAGAAAGAAACAAAGGAAGGAAGGAAGAAGGGAGGGATGGAAAGAGAGAAAAAGAAAGGAGGAAAAAAGGGAGGGAGAGAAAGAAAGAGGGAGGGAGGCAAGGAAGGAAAAAATAGGGAAAGAGGGAGGGAAAGAGAGGGGGGGAGGGAGGGATGAAAGAAAGAAAGGGGAGAGAGAAAAAAAGAAAGAAAAAGAAAGAAAAGGAGGGGGATGAAAGAAAGAAAGAAAGAAAGGAGGGAGGGAAAGTGAGAGAAAAAGGAAAGAAGGGAGGGAGAGAGAAAATAAAGAAAGAGGGAGGGAAGGAATGAAAGAAAAAGGAAGGAGGGAGTGAAAGAGAAAGAGAGAAAGGAGAGAAAGAAAAAGAAAGAAAGAAAGAAAGAAAGGGGAGGGAAAGTGAGAGAAAAGAAAAGAAGGGAGAGAAAGAAAGAAAGAAAGAAAGAAAGGAGGGAGGGAAAGTGAGAGAAAAGTTAAGAAGGGAGGGAAGGAGAGAAAGAAAGAAAGGAAAGGAAGGAAGGAAAGAAGGGAGGGAAGGAGAGAAAGAAAGATAGGGACGGAAGGAAGGAAGTTTTCTCAACCTCAGAAACTTTAAGAATCATAGAAGCGCATGCTGGATGGGGAATTCTGGGAGTTGAAGTCCACCACACTTAAAAATTGCTGAGCCTGAGAAACCTTGATTAGAGGATTTCTTCCTCACACAGGATTGCTGTGCGTGTAGGATAGGTGCGCCCCCTGGTGGGCGATCCGCCACCAACCTGTCGCAGGTGCAGCTCAGGAGAACCGCCAACAAATTGTAGACAACGTAGGTGAAAATCACAGCCATGATGGTGCCCCGAGGAATGGAATAGCTGGGCCGCTTGAGATCGCCTGGAACGAGAGGAAACTCTGCTCAAGAAGCATCCCAACGAACAGGACGGGACCTCCACCCTCCCTGCTACCCATCCTCCCCTGCCAGCCTGGGTGGATTCCCACGCACCTGACATGTTTGACCCCGCCATGATCCCCGTGCAACCGTTGAACATGACGGCAAAGACGGTGCTGAAGCTCATCAGCCGGCCAGTTGTGTAGTCGACACTATAGTCCGCTGCGAAAGGACAGAGCAAAGCAGAATTGTCAGCATGACGGGTTGACACAACAAGGATGGGGAAAAAAAGCAGGGTGGCCTCCCTAAAAAAACAATTCTTCCTCATTTAATGACAGCGGAGCTGTTCCGTCAGGTGTAGAGGACGGTTCCACCACAAAATCGCGGAGGACAAAATCGCGCTCGACGAAAGCGCGCATGTGACGTCATCACAGC